GGGCACCAAGTTTCCGTTCCTCTCAGTAGACCGGTCTGCGAAACCATAATTATGTGCAACAGAAGAAAATAAAAAGTATTATTTTTTTCCATCCGCTAGCCAACAGCGGATGAGTAATAAAGTAGAATGTTTGGTTTAAAGTTAGGGAGAAACTTTCACATGTCATCCTAACCCTAGTACTTAATCTGAGAAAAGTTATTAAACGTGAATGCTCAGTACCAGCCGAGGCAGTGGCTGTACGGCTAGTGAATCCAGTGCCGTGTTGTCAGAAGACGCTAACAAGCACTTTCACTTCAGTGGCCGACGCCCACACCAGGTGACGATCGCATATCGCCCCTACCCCCTAGTGACAGTCGCTCAGACCATGCAAACGACAGTAATTATCACTCCCCATACCCGACCCATGAACAATGCTCACAACCTCTCCTAATTTTCTCCCCTTTCCCAGCACAAGGACCTCTACACGCCGACTTCGCCATGCGGGTGGCAGGGAAACGATGAGTTGTGATTAAAGGGCACTTATTCACCCTGTCCAACTGTGCGATTTTCATTATTACTGTAGCTTTAGGGGTGTGATGAGGAATTGCTGAAAGGTAACCTATTTGTGCGTCCATAACTAGCCTACTGTTATTATGTCAGAACTACTGCTTAATTCACCAACATGACGAAGCTCATAGAATGCTAAGCATGATATCTCGAGATGTGTTTGCGATTGAAATAAAGAGGCCTACACTTACTTCAAAAAATGCAGCCGAGGATCCACCCTCGCGCGTACCGTACTTGATTTTAGTTTGTTTGGCCAAGTCATGTACGTCCTCAATGGGTGCTTTCATGCGCTCCACTGTCAGAAAGGCGGCCAAATTGGCCGTATACGAAGAAATTATGATGAGGGTGAAGAACCACCAGAATCCAGCTACGATGCGAGTCGATGTAGCCCGAGGCAGAATATCAGAGCCTGTAAGGGCAAACCACAAAATTAGTAAGAGTGTTCAATAAGACTACTTCGCAGATTTCGATGAAATTTTGTTTATGTGAGAAGAAGTCGACGCAGTCGCTGGGACCATAACTTTATTCGCCTGACGTTAGGGATTCCCGCTCGAACGCAGCTCAAGAGGCAACATTCGATACACGTAAATCGTACACAGAGAGTTGCAGTACGCATAGAATGCAGTCGGCAGGCTGCTATATACCTATGGCAAATAAAGGCTACCCTTTCATCAGGGAGGGTTGCATTCGGATACGCTTATTGCTTAATAGGTGGCATGCGATTGTTACCCGCGGAAATTTAATCATCCGTGTTGGATATTTGTGTGATGACTGCGCGGTCAGCTGACTCACTCATACTGGAGTTGGAAACAGTGTTCGCCTGCGCACATCCTGGATGGCTAATGACTTGGGCCAAAGAAATAGAAGAAGATGCAATCCTTGGAACAAGAAGTTTATTATCCTGAAAATTGGGATTCTGTCGAGAATCCCTAATCATATGTAATCGTAGAATGGTGTGATACATGCACAGATTGCATGGCATTTATAGTTCGTAGCGGTGAGATGACAACCGCGTGGGCCGCGGGGTGCCCGAGCCATAGTTATCAGGTCCACAGGCAATCAACAAGCGCAATGATTTGCTGTTCGCATACTGCGTACAGATGCATTACCTGAGTAGGGGAATCAGTCACATGGAAAGGGCCGGGCACAGCAACAAATCCGACGACAGCGAGCATAATGGCCGCGCAATTATCAAGGCCGCAACCGACACGGTCGACGAAATCGCGGCAAATACTGACTCAAAAGCGAACTGCCAAGCCATCATCGCACCATTTACGACACCAAGCGGTGGTTACAGGAGTTGATAATTACAGTACGCATGCAGGTGGTCGCCACGAATTATAAATAGCGCGTAATCTGTGCATTTATCATCCCAACCTGTGCATGCCTCACACCATTCTACGATTACCTATGATTAAGGATTTTCGACGTCAGGAAAATAGAATTCTTGTCCCAGTGATCGCTTCTTCTTCTTCTGAGCTGCTTCCTGGAACTCGCATATTCGCTCCTATCGACTTGGGCCAAACTGAGTCTCTGTAGCAAATATGGGATGGGATGGGGGGGGGTCACTGTACTTGGTAATAGACTGAGGGCCGTGAATCATGACTCGAGCAACTCGCGGCTCACGCGACTGTCACATCTTACGGACATGTCGGCCTCATCAACCTTGAGTATGTGACCACGACTTGATAAATTTAGCCGATTCTCCACACTGCTGCTGCGTCCATACCAGTCTCCTAGTTTCTTTGACGTAGTTGCTTCGCACGCAGTTGCACCACACCCGATAAGACTCCATGCGTTTTTGGCCGTGGTCATTGGTCTTTTACTTTCATTACCTGACGGTCTTATGCTTGCTTCCGGTCTGTATATGACTCTAACTCCGAGTGGTTCGGGGAGGTGGCTGACGGCCTCTGAGCCTTTTCAACACGCGAGATCGCTCACAGAATTTGCTTGTGCATGCACCGATTGACGTGGCGCATGTCTGGAAGATATTGCAAATCGGCAGTTTTGTCGTACGTACCGATCGCGTCTACTTCGTCTCATTTACTTCCGGGGACTCACAGTTTCCTTTGTATCGACAGTCCTCTAGGTGTTAAAATTAAGGACAGCGTCACGTTTGCCTACTGCAAAATAAGATTTCAGAAAAGCGCATCACGAGCATTTATTTCCTCTTGCGAAGCAGGTTCTCTTGGTCACACGAGTCGGCCCGTATCCGAAGGACTAAGGGAATACCTTCCAGCATGGCTGACGAAAGGTGAAGTCTGGAACATAAACAGCACTATGCTAGAACACACTGTCAATTCCGGACATCGTGTGGACCCCAACGAAGCCTTCCAGGTAATTTATAAGGTCCCATCAAAATACCTTAAGTCTCTGAGCCAGTGTCTGATAGCAACAGCAGAAGTGAACGCTATCAGGTTAGGGTACTGTATAAAACAACCTTCTGCAAACTTTGCGCCTGGAGTGATCAACGGTCGCTTGATGGCAGGCACGTTTCTGCGTTCTCTCTCCCCTCCCCTCACCGCGCGTAACCAGACTTCTCTTATGGACATTCACCCCCCCCCTCTCCCTACTAACATGATTCACTTGCATGAGATGACAGGCATAATTGACCGCATGTCTACTCTTGACCCCGTTCCCATATAGATTTACTGGCGGGATCAGAATCGATCGAAAGTTTACGTATGCTCGCAAACTGCTCTTCTGAATTCTTTGATGGGAATTTTAGCGACGTTAAAGCACGATATGTTCAAGTACTAACCTTTTTGCATCAATGAGCCGAGTGTAAACCACAGACTGTTGAGCATATTGAAGCTGTTCTCAAGCACCTCGGAATCTGCGTTGCAGGGATGAGGATTACGCCATTCATAGGGGCTGAAGCGAGCCACAAAGAATAACGCCATACTCACGCCAACGTATGCTATTATTACATAGCCCCAAACCTGTAATCAAGGCAATATAAGTGATATTAATTCGTAATGAAAAAAAATTACACGTCACATTTATTAAAATTCACATAGTTATCCCTTTATTGCAAACTGGAAAAGTGCAATTCCTCGAGGTATTTATGGCCCTAGGTTGGGTTTGTACCATAATATGCCTCTTCCTAAAAATACTGAAATGAGAATAGTGACGATTCAGCCATAAAAGGTTTTAATAAGTGAATGAACTAGATCAGGTGGTTCAAGTAGCGGTTGGAAACGGCAATAGGTACCCACCCCCTCCCACGTATTTCAGGTGGACTTGCGCTAAGTTCCGGGGATACCTGTTTCCGTGCGCCAACCCTGATCCATTTAGAATTTTGCGCAAGGCCACCTGTGATACGAGGGTCACCAGGTCCCGTGTCTTGTCACCATAACTGTTAACTGTTAATCATAAATTTAAAACTGGTGATCAAACCTCCGAGCTAACTTGGTCATATTGCGGAAAATGTGTATATAAATATTTAATATTTGATTATTAAACGGAGAGTCAGGCCAGAAATTTCGCGAACTCGTGACAAATTTTAATCTTTCCAGTTTCTGTAACCCTTTCAAGTACTAGCGTTGTTTCAGGAAAAGATCTTAATATAGATACATACTGGAAATAGCACTGGTTAATCAGACATTAACCATAAATCAGAGGAAGCGCTTTGCATACTCTTTTGTAGCCTCCTGATTCAATAGTCACATAGTTCTTCGTAGTGTCCGAAATAGTAAATCGAATTTTCTAATTCAATCTGAACTTGTCAGTTAACATGGAGACATTTAGAATGTTCTCGCAAAGGTCTTTACGAAACTATCTATGTTTCCTCGGTCTTTTCCTTCTTCTTCGAACTCTTAAAACCCGACGACCTTTAAGTATGTTGTCCAAGTGAGTATCAGGTGGTAATTCTCTAATATGTGCTCAGAGGCATGATGACGTTAGATTAGTGACCTTTAATATAGCCCTTATCTGAAATTCGAGTTCTTAGTTAAAATGTTCTATTTTTGTGTTAGCAACTACTAAATTGTCAACCAACCTATGCCTTTTTTAACTAATGGTACTTCATTTACCGCCGTAAAACTTGGGGACAGGCGATCGGCTGTAGGTAGTTTCATAGTCCGTATATTGTCGTCTTCAGAGTAAGGGAGTGATAGTACCAATTTTGTCAATATTACAAATACCGGCAGGGAGGGAAGGATACTGTTCCCAAACAGTCACACTGCAATTCAAATGTAAAGAACCCGAAATGTGAAATTTATGCGATTGGTTCAAGGTAGGCCGTCAGCCTGTTTTCAGCAACTGGTATCATGCTTAACCTCATCAAGGAGAAACACTATCGGTCTGGCCTGCTTATCCAATGACAATCGTTCAATTTTATTGCGCCAATATATTTATTCCTGTGATTTTCTGGTAGTGTTCGTTTATTGCCATGACACAAGCCCGCGAGTTCTCGAGACTCGGTATCAAATCCCACTCGGATGCATTTTCCCCTTTCAGGGCCTACGAGTGAATTCTGGTGAAATAGTGGTTTAAGTTCTAATGCAAGTGAAATGTGACATTGTCAATCACATGGAAGTAAACGAGTAGTTATTTTAAGCAAACCTGGACAGCAGTGATTATACAGACCTGTAACCTCAGTCCAGTGAAATGCAAGACGATTTTAGTACAACTGTCGCCTAACCCGCAGTAAGTGACCTAAATTAAGGGACATAAACTGAAACCTGCTTTCAGGTCGGAGAGATTACGTTGGTGAATAAGCGACACTGATTAGCATGCAACGTAATGTCAGGCTATTTCATTCGCGTTAGGCTGCCTGGTTTTGATTGCAAGTCCTTCGGACCACCTATGAAAACTCTCCTCGGCAAAAATGACCGCTTGACATTTGATGTCCTTATAACTAGAGAAAAAACATAATTTATTGTAAGTGCGAGGAAATCATCCGCGTTTATACTCTTTTTGTAGCTAAACACTTCGTGGCTACTACTTAAACGAAAGATGTCAACTTAGTTTGAAAAGAAGACCATTTAAGGTCGCGAAATCTTCATCCGAGTATTATCGTATCAGCATGTCTATTTATACCGATGTTTATAATTAATGTCAAAGGTACGATCACCAGACGGCGTCCTCCTTACAGCACAGACGGATGCACTTTCTGAAAGCGTACAATTTCGCAAACCTAAACGCAAGTACCACAGAAAGTAGGACATAAAGCTTAACGAACTTTACTGAACACGTTATTTTGCATCACCAATATCTTGTCTTCAAGAAAAAAGAGCCCTTTAATACAAAAGTGTATAAGTAGACAAGCACTAGCAGATTGAGTGGAACTCACAGGGGGCGAGAGAGGACGAAGGAAGGCAAAGAGGGCAAGCTCCTTGTCTTCAGGTTTCTTGAAAATGATGCTTACACCCAGATTCATGAAGGGCGTCGTGAAATCTATAACTCTCTCGCGCTCATAGTTGATGGTCAACATCGCAGCTGCGAGATCGGCTCTCTACAATAAAATGGCAGAAACATTCGACCATTTAACATAACAAAGTAGTTGAACTCATAAGAAAACGACACGATCGCTGAGACAATACTTTTATTCGTCCGACGTTTCGAGATGTGTCGCAGACTCGTCATCAGAAACATAATCAGAGAGCAGTAGCAAAACTATTTCGTGATTTGCAGCTACCTCGCGGCTTTCGAATTTGAGCCACCCATTTTTT